AAAAAAAAAAAAGAATCCTGACATAAAATATATAAAACTTCTTTTGCTAAATTAATATACTCCATATTTTTTATTTATTTTTCCCATCTTATGAGAAAGCATTATTTTTTAAATAGATAAAGTATTTTATACCTTCCAAGCAGTGTGTAGGTGGATATTATCTTCGTTTAGATACTCTATTGAGGGAACAGAGGAACAGAAAATCAGCATTTATTTTAACCAAATTTAAAATGTGCAAGAGATGAATGTTTAATTATCTTGACACTATCCTTTGCTGAAATAGGCTAAAGCAGTTGCAGGACAGCTAAGCTAATTTTTTAATATAATTCTTTAAACAGTGAGAATTAATGAAATGCCAGTTTTGAAGGAGTACATTTTTGAATGAAAGTGTCTTCCCACTCAAGTAGTAATGAGATATTTAGCTTTTATGTAATGTCACTTCTCATCTATAGGTGTCGTAGTGCTTTGTTCAGGCCACCTACAACTGATGCCTAACAGTTACACTGATCACTTGTCTAAGCTGCATATATAGATAGCAAGGCCTGGCAGAGCTGTATATCAGATAGTCTGAGCTGTCTGACATGCTCCTGACAAAGGTGTGGGATTAGTCATACAAAAATGGAACCAACAAGAAAAGCATGGTAAAACTGGAGTGTCTGGGAGCACACAGTTCAGCAGTGAGTATAGCTGGCTTCTACTTGTATAAATATATACGTAGTGTAGGTGGAGAAAAATATAATTTTCAGGTAGGAATATAAACTAGAATTTTTCTGATAAAATGCCCTCACTATGAGATCATTATTGTTCCCCAAGTAAATATGTAGTATTTTGAATCAGGTTCCTCTAAAGAGGAAAGTGCTTTTGTAATTTGCATGCAATATCCTGGATTATTTATTTTAAAATGTCTGCTCTATTGACTCGTTTTGCCTAGATGTATTCAAAAATATAAAGATACATAATATGTAAAGCATATAACATATATAACATGCAATATTGTAAATTAATGTAAAAATGTAAGTTAAAAATACAAAAAAATAAACAAAAATTGAAGGAGAATCAGAGAATTTAATCAGGTTATAGTATTTAGGGCTTACCTTATACTCTCTGTAGCGCTAAAGACACTTAACCATTCTAAAAATGGAATTCCAAAATTCCAGAAACGGAATTCCAAAAAGGGAAACCATTATGTAACGTGATCAATGAAGTTGTGTTTTGAAAAAGGGAGAAGAGAAGAAAAGATAAGATGCTGGGCCTTTTTGGTTTACTGAAACTATTTAGGAATTAGATTGAGATGATGTTTACAAGGTTCTAATGCAGACTTTTGTATGAGCAGGTCTGCTATTCAGTATTTTTAGTGGGGAGGTGAAGTTGTATTTTGGAAATTTTGATTTCATTATGTTTTTCGTCTAGAAAACTCTACACTTTTTTCCATACTGTTAGATTTGTATGACATCATTATTTTTTGTATATGTTATGCAAGAAAAGGTTAAAGTACCGGTATATTGTGTTACTTATCCTGTTTCTCCCAGTGCGCTTGTGAAAAACGTAGAAATAAATAAGAAGATGGAACCATCATTGAACATCTAAAGTTCACACCTAGGTAGGCGGAAATAAAGCCCATCCAGTCTTTGGAGTCTCTGGAAGATGCTAATAGATGATATCAACTTTTGGGTGCTACCTATTTGAGCATATTTAACTTACTAACCTGAAATGTTCTGCATGGTGTTAACAGACTTCACAGCAACATATTCTGTCAGCCTTTTCATTTTAAATATGTATGACTTTTTAAAAAGGAAGTTTACTTTGACAGCACTGTTTCCCTTTCCATAACACACATTAAATGGAATAACCCTTTTAAAGTTACTTACTGAAAGCTAGATGAGGATGCAGTTTGTTCTACCTCCTTATTTTAAGGGACATGATGCCTCAGAAATATGCACATGCTTCAGGTACGAGGCACTTTACATTATTAACTCATTCAGTACTCATTGGATACTACAGAATTAAGACATTGTTTGGAAAAAAGAGATTTTGCTTAACTTTTAGAAGTAACAGCTTGAAAACACTCAGGTTGCGATGAGGGCAAAGGAGATTCCCTGCAGTATTGCACATGCCATACTTATTAATGGGAGTACAAAGCCAAATAAAGATTCGGTATGTGTCTGAGAGAAAAAAAAAAAAAACAACTAAAGTCTCTTTTGCTTGCATCCATGCAACTAACGTTGCTGTTTATAAGTATTCAGTGACTGAGTAATGAGTAGAAGCCAGTTTCCTTAACCCAGGGATGAATCCAAGAATCAGTGTGTATGTACTCTGCACATGTGAATAATCTTGAGCTCTTTTGTGTTATTAGTTTGGTTTCAGCCATTGTAGCCATTACATTGGGTTTTGCGATTTTGCTCGCATCCTTTGGCTTCCACCCTTTTTCATTTTCCCTTTCTCCTGCCAGTTCCTTAATCAGCCTCTCTGGGAACTTATATAGCTCCCATGACCACAGTATATGAACACCTCACAAACAGTAATGCCTTTTTATCTTCACTGTGCCTTTGTGAATTAGAACAGTATTAACTCACATTATAGAGAGAAGGAACAAAAGCACAGAGAGATGAAATGACTTGCCTATCAATGGGCTAGAAATCGGTAACAAAATCAGGAGTGGAACCCAAAAGTTTTGAGTGTCTAGCCAGATTTTAAGCCCAGGTCTCTCCCTCCTGCTCTCTGCCCATTGCCAGACAGCCTAGAGTACTCATCATTCTGTTCGGGTGCTAATGAGAGTCTTGACATCGTTTAACTGAGCTGGGAGTCTGGGTTCCCTCATCAATGGCAAAAAAGAAGCTCTGCCAGAAAGTCATTTAGAAAATCAAAGTTAGGAGTCCCGCTCGCTCTCCCTCTCTCTCTCTTGCAACCAGCTAGGAAGCCTGGGCTTCTAAATCAAGCACCTAAACTAGCTCTCTAAAGTAGATAATGAGTCATTTAGCTAACTTAAAATGCCCTATACTGCTCCACAAAGAGAATCCCATAAAGTTTTTCTTGTCTCTTTTACCTACCCACGCTTATGGATCACTCATCACAGTAGTATCTAAATGCCTTGTTTAACCAATCATATTAATTTCTAGGTTTTAAAATTGAATTTTGACTACTGGTTGTTACATTCATTTCCAGTTTTTCTATTTTTTATCCACCAGAAAGAATACCATTCTGTTATAATGAGGAGAGGTGGGGTGGAGGTGTTAGTGAGCTCCGCTAATTTACAACAACGCCTACTGGCTCTGTACAGCCCACTGGCTCTACACAGCACATTATCTGCCTATCGATAATCTTTTATCATGATACATAATAAATTCACACTTTCCCACATGCTGCTTTTCTTTTCTTCCTCTCTTTTCTTCTCTTACAAGACTTTGGGGGGCTACAAGATTTAATTTTTTGGATTCTTCTCTACTGCCCACTTCACTACAAAGGAGTTAGAGTTAGAGACAACTGAATGTTACCCTAGCCTCTTTGTCCCTATTTTAGAGAATAACATTTAAATAGGCATAAATGTACATGTGTATGTTTAGCTCACATTGGTCAGATGTTTCCTTTTCCTTCATCCTCCCACCCCGGACACTGGTTTGCCACATGATGAAATGCCTCTGACCCAGCTATCAACATAAAGGCAGCTCTAGGTATCTCTTTCTGCGAGTGTGCATTTACCGGGCTATTGCGATGGACGAGCGAGGGGTGCGTACTCCCCTGCATGTTTGTGCATGAATATGAGCAAATTTATTGGGGGGAGCATCAGAATTTCACAGTTACGCTTTATAGAACATTTGTTTAATATTATAAACATCTGCAAATGACTATTTATTTTATGAAGTGATTAACATTCCTAATTAGATGCACCTTGCAGCTGCTGTTAATCTTAATTGGCAATAATATAGTTACATTTTGATGCATATCTTCAGAAGAGTTACAGAGGAGAAAAAAAAATCTGAAGGGAAGGAAATAAAACTGTTCCCACACAGTTCAGAGAGTTCGCACAAAGAAGATCCCATGGCAACAGCAAGGCCCACAGTTTGCCTTATAAAAATCCAAGAATAGATAATGTATCATCTCTTTTAAAACAACATTCCACTTTGGAAACCGGAGGGGAGAAATACACCGATCCCCGCGCAACTCGTACGCGAAGCAGGCAGCCTTCAGGCAGCCTCTCTTTTACCCCTGTCCCTTGGAAAGCGCATCAAAATGTGGTCCCATCGCCGTGTGGGTGAGCTAACCTGGAAACGCCGTGGGTGCCTGCGAGGAGAGAGCGCTGCTATTTCGGAGTTTCTCCAGGATCCCTCCCGAAGGGCCCTTCCCCCCCAAAAAACAGCCTCCAAAACTAATGCTTGCAAAGCCGGTGGTGGTGCGTGGATTGGCTAGTACTGAAGTATCCATTGGGTGGCAGTAACAGTATCTTCTTTATGACTTGCAGCAAACCGGAGAATGCATTCAATCAAATGAGCCGATCTTGTAGAAACACTGGAATCATTTATGCATTGCAGTTTCTCCCTCTCGCTCTCTCCCTCTCTTTCTCTGTTCCTTAGGATATTTTGGGTGGATTGTGGTTATCAATCAAGACCTCCTGTTCTTTGCTGATCACTTGTCATTTGCACTGGGGATTAGTACCGTTCGGGGCAAGCGGACAACAGATTTTTTTTTGCCTTCCTTCTTTTCTCTTTGGAGATTTTTTTTTTTTTGTAATTTTTCCCCAATTCCCCCCCCCCCCAC